TGCGCGGCGGTGCGGGTCGGGGCGGCAGGGGAGCTGGAGGTCGGGCTGGTTTAACCGCGGCTGTGCTGTGTGCGCCCCGGCAGGTTTGGGGACCGACGGCGCCTAAAGATGCTGAAGGGCGTCTGGCTGCTCGGGGTGTTCAGCGTGGCCGGGATCCCGGCGCCCAGCCAGAGCCGCAAGCCCGCCAAAGACATCTGCAGCAAGAGCCGCTGCCCCTGCGAGGAGAAGGAGAACGTGCTGAACATCAACTGCGAGAACAAAGGCTTCACCACGGTCAGCCTGCTGCAGCCGCCCCCCTCCAAGATCTACCAGCTCTTCCTCAGCGGCAACGCGCTCACCCGCCTGCACCCCAATGAGTTCGTCAACTACTCCAACGCCGTGACCCTGCACCTGGGCAACAACGCCATGCAGGAGATCCGCACCGGCGCCTTCAGCGGGCTGCGCACGCTCAAGCGCCTGCACCTCAACAACAACCGCCTGGAGGTGCTGCGGGAGGACACCTTCCTGGGCCTGGAGAGCCTGGAGTACCTGCAGGCCGACTACAACTACATCAGCGCCATCGAGGCGGGCGCCTTCAGCCAGCTCAACAAGCTCAAGGTGCTCATCCTCAACGACAACCTCCTGCTCTCGCTGCCCAGCAACGTGTTCCGCTTCGTGCTGCTCACCCACCTGGACCTGCGGGGCAACCGCCTCAAGATGCTGCCCTTCGCCGGCGTGCTGGAGCACATTGGTGGCATCATGGAGATCCAGCTGGAGGAGAACCCCTGGAACTGCACCTGCGACCTGCTGCCCCTCAAAGCCTGGCTGGACACCATCACCGTCTTCGTGGGCGAGATCGTGTGCGAGACGCCCTTCCGGCTGCACGGCAAGGACGTGACCCAGCTCACCCGGCAGGACCTGTGCCCTCGCCGGAGCTCCAGCGACTCGAACCAGAGGGAGAAGCATCCCGCCCCCTCGGACACCCACGTCCAGAGGCTGCCGCCCACCGCCAACTCTGCCGTCGGCCCCACCAGAGCCCCGAAAGCCAGCCGGCCACCCAAGACCCGGAACCGCCCGACGCCTCGGGTCACGGTGTCGAAAGACAGGCAGATCTTTGGGCCCATCATGGTTTACCAGACCAAGTCCCCCGTGCCGATTACTTGCCCCAGCGGCTGCGTCTGCACTTCGCAGAGCTCGGACAACGGCCTGAATGTGAACTGCCAGGAGAAGAAGATCAGCAACATCTCAGATCTGCACCCGAAACCCACCAGTCCAAAGAAGCTTTACCTGACGAGCAACTATCTGCAAATTGTCTATAAAACCGATCTCCCCGAATACAGCTCTCTGGATTTGTTGCACCTGGGGAACAACCGGATCGCAGTGATCCAGGAAGGTGCCTTTACAAACCTCACTAGTTTACGCAGACTCTATCTCAACGGTAACTACCTTGAAGTCCTGTACCCCTCCATGTTCGAAGGCCTGCACAGCTTGCAGTACCTCTACTTAGAGTATAACGTCATCAAGGAAATCCTGCCCCACACTTTTGACGCTCTGAGTAACCTTCACCTCCTGTTTCTCAACAACAACTTGCTGAGGTCACTGCCCGATAACGTGTTTGGTGGCACTTCCCTCACCAGGCTCAACCTTCGCAACAATCACTTCTCACACTTGCCCGTGAGAGGGGTCCTGGACCAGCTCTCGGCTTTAATTCAGATAGACCTTCAAGAAAACCCTTGGGATTGCACGTGTGACATCATGGGGCTGAGGAACTGGATCGAGCAGGTCACCGAGCAGAGCCATCAGCAGTCTGGTCCCCCTGTGGTGATCAACGAAGTCATATGTGAGTCTCCGGCTAAGCACTCGGGCGAACACCTGAAGTTCCTGAGCAAGGAGGCCATCTGCCCCGACAGCCCCGGGCTGTCCGACTCGACTCTCTTATCCATGGACCAGAACACAGAGACGCCACATCTCCCTAGCGTCTTGCCCAGCTCCTATCCCGAAATACACACCGAGGTCCCGCTCTCAGTTTTAATTTTAGGCTTGCTGGTGGTGTTTATCCTGTCCGTCTGTTTTGGGGCAGGCCTGTTTGTCTTTGTGCTGAAGCGCCGGAAGGGAGTGCAGAGCGTGCCCAGCAGTGCCAACAACTTAGACATCAGTTCATTTCAGCTCCAGTATGGGTCTTACAACACGGAGACCCACGATAAAACTGAAGGGCATGTTTATAACTATATCCCCCCGCCGGTGGGGCAGATGTGTCAAAACCCAATCTACATGCAGAAGGAAGGGGATCCAGTGGCATACTACAGGAATCTCCACGAGTTTAGCTATAGCAATCTTGACCATAAAAAAGACGACCCAACCAGCCTTGCATTTACAATCAGTGCAGCTGAATTGCTGGAAAAGCAGTCCTCGTCAAGGGAACCGGAGCTGCTGTATCAAAACATTGCAGAGCGAGTCAAGGAACTCCCCAGTGGTGGAGTAGTTCATTATAACTTTTGCACCTTACCCAAAAGGCAGTTTGCCCCTTCCTATGAATCCAGACGCCAAAACCAGGACAGGATAAATAAAACTGTTTTATATGGGACTCCCAGGAAATATTTTGCAGAACAATCAAAACCTGAGCATCCTTTACTCCAAGGAAAGCTACAAACAGAACCAGACTACCTCGAAGTTCTGGAGAAACAAACTGCGATTAGTCAGCTGTGAGGGTGGGCGGGAGGAAAGGAGGCATTTTTAAAAGGTCTGCGCATCAAACTTGATGGCTTCAGAGTCAACAGCAATGTGATGTGTCACATTCTCGCCCGTTCCACTTTTTTCAATACTAAAAAAAAAAAGGAAAAGAAGTGGAATCCTTATACTACGCTGGGGGTGTGGTGTTGCTTTGGCAAGGTTCCCTTTAAGTTATTTCTACATCTCTGCCCCTTTAACTCACTCCCCTTTAGGAACAGTCTCTGCAAATGAATGTTTCTACCATAGATTTTGCATAACTCTCTCTTTTTTGCCTTGGGAGGAAGAGAGGAAAGGGGGACTTGGGGTTATTTTTTTTTTTTCAATTAAAAGTGGAAGCATAATGTATTCTGTAGAAGATCTCCAAAGATCTTTTTTTTCTGGACTATTTCTTTTTTTTTTTTT